CTTGTTCTGGTTCCAATTTTAGTATATGTTGCTGTGGAGACCAGCACAGAATGTTTTGGAATGAGCAAGGTGGGTCTCTCAAAGGTGGTCGTTGAGATCAGATGTCGAAGGATGGTCTCTACCCATTGGGTCAAGCTCTAGAAAGTAGGCGTATAGTCCATCAATTGATGGACTGTTTCTGGCCTCTTGCTTTCCTTATTTCTGCTCCTATGGCTCCATGGGTGTGCAAGTGAGCAGTCTCCTGGACCTCTGCCTCCTCATCTCCTATGCTTCAGCTCATTTGCTTCTTCCTCCAGTTGGCTCTCATGGCGCAGAGGTTTCCAAGAAGATGGTGATGAGGCCAAGGGCTGCGTTGTCCAATGTTTGCAGGAATCTTGCTAAGTCAGTTCAGCCAGGATCAGATCTGATCATGCTCAGTATCTGATCCAGTTCCTTATACCTCAACGTGCTGTAGGCGAAGTCTGATCGTCCTGGCCTGCCGTCAGTCACTAGCCTGTAAAGTCACTTTAGCCAGAAATCCCCTCCCTTTGCCCCTGATGTTTCCTCTGAGTAATTTTCCACCCACCCCACCCAATCCCTCTGCCCTGCTGCTTGGCTATAAATGGCCATGCTGTTCTCAGAGTTGAAGTCCCTCTCTCCCCTCCCAGTAAGGCCCCACTGGTACTTATGCAATACTCTCCCCCAGCAACTTAAATAAAGTCTTCCTTACCCTGTTCTTTAACTAGTGTTATGTGTAGTTTTTTTCTTTAGTAAGAGCATGCAAAAAGCATAAAAGAATATATTAATGAATGAGACTTCACTAAGTCTGCTTGTCAAAAGACCCAGGCCACAGACTGAGAGAAATGATTTGGAAAACACAGATCTGGCAGAGAACTGGTGTCCAGAATATATAAAGAAGTCTTGCAACTCAAAAGTAAAAAGTCTGTAAACAACCCAGTTAAGAAATGGGGTAAAGGCGGGGTGCCTGGGTGGCTCAGTGGGTTAAGCCTCTGCCTTCCGCTCAGGTCATGATCCCAGAGTCCTGGGATGGAGCCCTGCGTCGGGCTCTCTGCTCAGCAGGGAGCCTGCTTCCCCCTCCTCTCTCTGCCTACTTGAGATCCCTGTCAAATAAATAAATAAAATCTTTAAAAAAAGAAAGAAATGGGCTAAAGGCCCCGCACACAGGGGTGGTAGGGCGGCCTTTTCCGGTCTCCCTCACAGATGGACTCTGTGGTCCAGCTTCCCTGGCACCCGGGATCACGCACCGAGGCCTGTGAAGGTTCCCTGCAGAGGTTTCCACCAGCCCACAAGGTACAGCATGGCAGCCATCCCCTCCAGCGGCTTGCTTGTGGCCACCCACGACTGTTCCCTATGACATCCAGGGCTCCACTTCCAGTAACAGGTCCTATGCGAGTGCAGACGATCCCGGGGAAGCCATACCCCACCACGCAGGTCTCTCCAAGGTGCACCCAGGGCAATGGGATGCTGGCTTCTTTTGCAGGAAGTCCACTCTCCCATCCATGGCCACCATGTTGGAGTTCCCAGAATGGTGTGTCCACCCTCCTGGGGGCCAGTGTGGGTGATGGGGGCAGGGGGAAGCAACCTCTGACCACAAGCTTTCCCCCAGCAGGGACTCTCCCTAGGCCTCCAGTGGCGGGGTCACCTGTAACTTGGCTCTGGAGACCCTGAGGAAGCTTGGTGGCCAACCTGGCAAAGCCAACAGTGGGCCCCAGTCCTGAGCAGCCACCGCCATGCTTCAGGGGTTGCTGGGCTCATCAGAGATCCTCCCCTCCCATAGAATCCAGGCTGCAGCAAGTGGAACCAGCTGGGTTCTTTTAGAGCAAGACAGCAAAACACCAAAAAGGAAGTTGAGAGAACCCCCATCCCTTTACTATCCAAGCCACACGTAAGTCTTTGTGACACCCTGTAACCATGTGCCTTGCACCAAGTGGAAAACAAACTCCAAGTAGCCAATAAGAAAGAAAGAGAAGGAAAAAGAGGAAATGGAGTAAAGATTTGAGGAGACATTTTACAAAGGAAGAGATACAAAGGAAGAGATACAAATATCCATTAATAATAATCATGGATAAACCCATGAAAAAGTATTTGACATCATTAGTCATCAGAGAAATGCAAACTGAAATCACATTGTTACACACATGCATCAGCATGACTAAAACCAGACAACACCAGACTCTTAATTGGTGGGAATGTGTATTGGTATACCATTTTGGGAAAAGATCTGGCAGTTTGTACAAAACTAAAGTAGACTGACCTTCCGGCCCAGCAATTCCATTCCCAGGATTTTACTCAGGATAAACGAAAACACATGCTTACCAAAAGACGTATATAGAAATGTTCATGGAGACTTTATTCATAATAGGCAAAACTAAAAACAGACAAGGGCCCATCATTAGGAAAATGATTTTTTAAATCTGTGGTTTATCCATACAATGAAATATTGCCCATCCATAACAAGGAATGAATTACTGATAGAAGATGAATGAATGTCACAAACATTATGCTGATAAAAACCTTATAGAAAAGAGTGTAGGGGCACCTGGGGTGCTCTAGAACAGTGAATAAGGGGTAGGAAGTCTTTTTTTTTTTTCTTTAAAGTTTAGTCTTTTTTTTTTTTCTTTAAAGGTTTTATATATTTGTCAGAGAGAGGGCCTGAGTGCACAAGCAAGGGGAGCAGCAGGCAGAGGAGGAACAGGCTCCCTGCCAAAGAAGAAACCTGATGTAGGGCTTGAACCCAGGACCCCAGGACCATGCCTTAAGCCAAAGGCAGATACTTAACCAACTGAGCCACCCAGGAACTCTAGGGGTAGGGAATCTTATGAAGCTGGAGAGTTAAGAAGGGTCAGGTCCTGAAGGGCTAGATATGTTAAAATGTGGTCTTTATAGTATGAATAATGGGGAATTATTAAGGGTTTTAGGGCATGGGGATTGATACATCACATTTGCATTTTAGAGAGATCACTCTTAGCTATAAAGGAGTACATAGATGGGTAAGGGATTCACCTGAAAGTGAGGAAATGACACTTCGCAGAGAAGGGATGATGGAACCTGAACCAGGCTCATGGTGAATAGTAACAGAGATGTGGATAGGCATGAGAGACGTTTAGCAGCGAGGATCTTGTTGACTGATTGGATGTTGGAGGAGAGGGAGAGGTTTTGCATGACGTTGAAATGGAGAAACAGTGGTTACAGGGGAGAAAAGAGCTGGATTGGGGGAATACGGTTAGGTTAGGCAATGAGTTCAGTTTCTGTGCCTCCCAGATGTCCAACTGGAAACATCTACTAGTCAGGTTTAAAACCCTGGAGATTGAGAGAGAAATATGACTGGAGATAATGAATTTGGGATCCATTAGTATATAGATGGTAACTGAAGCCCTATGAGTAGGTGAGATCACCCAGGGAGAGCATTTAGTGTGAAAAGACCCAAGACAGAACCTAGAGCAAGATGAAGAGGCAAAAAGAAGTAGAAACAAAATGTTCCCTGAGAAGGGACTAGAGAATAAAACAATAATCTAAAGAGTGGTACAGAGAAGTCACGTGTAAAATGTTTTGAAGAGGGGAGTGTGGTACTCAATACCTTCAAAGGTTAGGGGAAGTCAAATGAGTATGCAATGTGGCTTTTGATTTAAGTATGGGGGGGTTACTGAAGATCATGGGGGGAAAATAGCTGAATGGAGGCCTGAGGTTAAGCAGAAGATGAAGTGGAGGGAGGCATCTTGTCTCGTCTCCTGAGTGGAGGCAGCCCATTTAGAGTTTGGTTAAGAGAGAGAGTGGAGTAGCTGGGGGAAAGACATGGTTGTTTAACCATTTTTTTTTTTTTTTAAAGGGTCAGTTGAGTGCATCTAAAATGCTGAAAACAGGGGCGCCTGAGCGGTTCAGTTGGTTAAGCTACTGTCTTCGGCTTGGGTTGTGATCCTGGAGTCCTGGGATCCAGTCCTACATTGGGCTCCCTGCTCAAGAGGGAGTCTGCTTCTCTCTCGAACCTCTCCCCTCTCACACTTTCTCTCTCTCAAATAAATATAATCTTTAAAAAAAAAATGCTGAAAACAGGGACTCCTGGGTGGCCAAGATGATTGAGCAGCCCACTTGGTTTCAGCTCAGGTTATGATCTCAAGAGTCCTGAGATCCAGCCCCATGCTGGGCAGCTCAGGGTCTGCTTGTCCCTCTCCGCCTCCTCGAGCTCACTCTCTCTTTCTCTAAAAAATAAATGAAATCTTGGGGCGCCTGGGTGGCTCAGTGGGCTGAGCCGCTGCCTTCGGCTCGGGTCGTGATCTCGGGGTCCTAGGATCGAGTCCCGCGTCGGGCTCTCTGCTCGGCGGGGAGCCTGCTTCCCTCTCTCTCTCTCTCTCTCTCTGCCTGCCTCTCTGTCTACTTGTGATCTCTGTCAAATAGATGAATAAAATCTTTAAAAAAAAAATAAATGAAATCTTAAAAAAAAAAAATGCTGATGACAAAGGGCCAGTCCTGAAGGCGCCACGGGATAGAGGAAGGTATCTGTAATCCCAGATGGAGGGGTCCAGAGCTGATGAACCGTCAGGACTTAAGAAGGACGCCTCTTCCAGCATAAATGAAGGGAAAGGAAAAGGAGAAGCTGGCAGATTCTAAAGGTTTGGTGCAGGAAGGAGCGCCTGGCTGGTTCAGTGGGTAGAGCAGGCTCTTGATCTCAGGGTCGCGAGTTTGAGCCCCGCCTTTTGGGTAGAAAGCCTAATGTGGGTGGGCCTCAGCCAATAAAAAAATAATAAAGGTTTGGTGCCGGGACGCCGATGGAATGTCTGCGGGACGCTTTCTACTTCCCTCGATAAGGCTGGGAGTAAGAGCGGACGCTGAGTGGAGCTGGCAGAGGAGTGTGGGTTTGAAAAGCGTTTCTTACAGGCCGGTGTGGGCGGGAAGGGCTGGGTGGAGGCGAACTAGGCAAATTGGCAGTGACGCCTAGGGGGTGCGGGGTGAATGTCCTGGCGCGCTGCCATGGCAACAGGCCGGCGGGGCGGGGCCCCAGCCGACTCTAAGTGGCCGGAGCAGCGCGGTTTCAACACAGGGTTCGGGAAACCCGGTGAGGTGCCAACAGAGGTGGCCAAAACCGGACCGCAGGCGCCGCGAGATCTGGGCCCCACGCTGTGAGACTGCCCGTGACGCTAACACCGCACTGCGCGACAAAGTGCTGAACGTCATCGTCCTGCGACTCCGACGCAGTAATAGGACGCCCTCCCGGAAGTGGGCTCTGGATCGGGCAGTAAAAGTGGTAGCCAGGTCGCAGCTGAGCTGTTTCTCTGCGTTTCCTCTCGATCCCTCCTGAGCCCTGCAGGTCCGCGTAGAGACGAAACTTCTCCGCTGTCATGGGGGGCGGAGATCTGGTAAGTGAGGGAGACCTGGGCGGGGGAGGACGGAACCGGGGACCGACCCGGATTGGGGACGGAAATTGGAGGGTGTGGAAGTGGGTGACCATGGCTACACGGCCGTGCTTTCGTACGAAGGGAGCTGTAGCCTCGGAGAGGGGACCGATCTCTGGGGTCACGGAGGGGCCAGGCAGGGACCTGGAAACGTGTGCGACGTGTGTCGCCAACCGTGGCGACTGGTGTTTATGTGTTTGTTGCTGGGGCCTTTCCCGGCTGGAAATTCTAGGAAGGCCCGGGAGAGGGTGGTGGTGGTGGAACCATGCCTCTGAAAGGAGGCAGATAACAAGTCACGCGGGCTTTATTTTGTATATCTTGTCTTGGGCACTTCTCTCTTCCTCAGCTGGGAGTTTAGTCATGTTTTGGGCTGTAGTAGGAGTGGTCTTACCCCGTTGTCTTCGCCCCTGAGCCATATCTGTTTTAAACCTGAAGTTATCTTTTCACATCCACGTCTTTGGCTTCCACTCCTCCTTCAGTGCTATATTCTGATCTGTAGTGACAGAGCTGTATTCTGAATTATTGCACTTAATATAAGTTACGTGGGAATTTCTCTTGAACTGTATAGTTCATCTGTAGGGTGCTGAGCTCCAGATAGGGCAAAGGAGCCATAAGAGCATGGTGCAAGATCAGAAAAACGCTAACCCCTTTAAAGTGTTGCTGACTGAATCAGCAAACAGATTTTGCCACCTGTCCAGGATCTGTATTGGAATTTGTCAGGTGTTGTTGATTAGAATGCTTTCCAAGACTCCAGGATTCATACAGCTTAGTGTATTCTTTTTATTTATTTATTTATGAGAGAGAGAGAAAAAGAGATTGAGTGAGCACGAGTAGAGGTGGGGCAAAGGGAAAGGGGGAAGCAGACCCCCCCCCCCCCCGCCCAGTAGGGAGTTCGAAAACTCTATCCCAGGACCCTGAGATCATGACCTGAGCCAAAGGCAGACGCTTGACTGACTGAGCCACCCAGGTGCCCCAGTTTAGTGTATTCTTCAGGTAATGGCAGTCAGGGACAGGAAAGCTCTAGTTCAGGGTTTCTCAGCCTTGGTGCTGTTGACATTTTGGGTGGGATAACTCTTTGTTCTGCTTTTGGGTGGTGGGTGGGTGGGGGTCCTGCGCGTTGTAGGATGTTTAGCAGCGTCCTTGGCCACTAGCCACTGGATGCCACTAGCGCCTTTCTCCTTCATTTGGGACAACCAAAAATCTCTCTGAACACTGCCAAATGTTTCCTGGGGGGCAAAATCACCTGTGTTGAAGGAGGGAGAGGGAGACCAGTAGGACAAGGCCAGAGACGGGGAGAGATAGTGGACTGAGCAACCTGATGAAGGGAAAAGAAGGATAAGGTGGAAAAGAAAAAAGGCCAGCCCTCTTTGCCTGAATACCTTTTATACCCCAGGAACTTTGTGTAGGTTTTCTCATTTAGGCCTCTTAACTGGTCTCCTGGTCCTCAGTCTCTGCCCTCTCCAGTGCATACTGTTTTGTTTTTTTTTCTCTTAAAGATTTTATTTATTTATTTGTCAGAGAGAGAGAGAGAGAGAGAGCACAAGCAGGGGGAGTGGCAGAGGAAAAGGGAGAAGCACGCTCTCTGCTGAGCAAGGAGCCTGATGTAGGACTCGATCCCAGGACTCTGGGATCATGACCTGAGCCAAAGGCAGACGCTTAACTGACAGGGCCACCCAGGCGCCCCTCTCCAGTGCATTCTTTTTTTTTTTTTTTTTAAGATTTTATTTATTTATTTGACAGAGAGAGAGATCACAAGTAGGCAGAGAAGCAGGCAGAGAGAGAGAGGGAAGCAGGCTCCCTGCTGAGCAGAGAGCCTGATGTGGGGCTCGATCCTAGGACTCTGGGATCATGACCTGAGCCGAAGGCAGAGGCTTTAACCCACTGAGCCACCCAGGCGCCCCTCTCCAGTGCATTCTAAACACGATAGCTAGTCATGCCTGTCACCTGCATATGACTGTTTAGTGTTTCTTACTGTCCACAGGATAAAGCCCACTCCCTTAACATGCTTTATAAGGCTCTTAGTCTGTTTCTTTCTTAGTTGGCTTAGTTGGCTTCATCGGCTTCATCTTGGACTCCCCTCCTCACCAGCTTGCATGCCTTCTTTAGCCCCACAGAATCACTTGTGCTATGTTCTTTCTCACCACTGGGCCTGTAGTTGTGTGTGCTCTTCTCTCTGGAAACCTACCCCTGCTCATCCCTGCTTCCTACATCACTGGGCTAAATCGTAATTATCATGAGATGTCACTTCTTCCAGGAAACCTTCCCTGGTTGGCAGCTGAACCAGAACAGTGGCTTATGGGGAGAGGGGAGAGGAGAAGCATTCTTGAGGTGCTTCAGGGTGCCCCGTGAAGGGGAGATTGGAACTGAGGGGAGATTCCTGGGAAGGGAGGTTGAAAGAGGTACTTGATGGGGATGTAAACCACATAAGGTGAAGGCCGGCTAACTGGACTCAAGGAGCAGAAGATGTGTTCATAAAAAAGAATGTCTCCTGCCAAACGCACTAGAGTTCTGTTGCCTTTCAGAGTTTACCTTCCCACCTCTCCGCCCATTCCCCCTGTCATCACCACCCCTTATTTCAGGCATGGCCAGTGGAAGTCTGATCCATAAGCATTTCAAGCTGAAAGTGTTCAAAGGGAATCCAGAAAAGGCCTGTTCTATCCTGAAGCTTTATTTTTTTTTTTAAGATTTTATTTATTTGACTTAGAGAGATAAGTGAGAGAGGGAACACAAGCAGGGGGAGTGGGAGAAGGAGAAGTGGGCCCCTCGCCGAGCAGGGAGCCCAGTGTGGGGCTTGATCACAGGACCCTGGGATCATGACCTGAGCTATAGGCAGACGCTTAACGACTGAGCCACCCAGGAGCCCCTATCTTGAAGCTTTATATACTTGAACAAACCTCCCCCAGATGTGTGAGATTATCGGGTGTCAACCTTGCCATTGTGCAGGACATCTTGCCCTTAGATGTGTGCTTGGGCATGAGCAGGGAATGGGGGGCGGCATACCCACCCACGCACCCACCGCCTGTGTTGTTTTCTCCCCCCTTTCGTCCACCACAGAATCTGAAGAAGAGCTGGCACCCACAGACCCTCCGCAATGTGGAGAAGGTGTGGAAGGCCGAGCAGAAGCATGAGGCTGAGCGGAAGAAGATCGAGGAGCTGCAGCGGGAGCTGCGGGAGGAGCGGGCCCGGGAGGAGATGCAGCGCTACGCTGAGGACGTCGGGGCTGTCAAGTGAGTGAGAGGCTGAGGCCGCAGTGGGGCGGCGGGGCTGAGGCTGGCCTGCATCCCTTGCTTAGAGCTGCTGGCTGGGAGCTTGGGTTTTGGAGTCAGCCCGACCTGGGCTCAGTCAGTCCGACCTCAGGCTGGCTTTGCGTGTATTAGCCTAACTGTGTCCCCTGGGAGCAAGTTTGGGGGCTCAGTTATCTCAGAGGAACCAGCGGAGCGAGAGTACCTGATTCCCAAGATTTGTGGGGGAAACAGATGAGAGAGCGTGGAAAGGGCTTAGTGTAGGCCTGGCACATGCCTGGTACTTAATAAGCAGGCCTGAGGACGATTGCTTCCACCCTACCTCTCCGAGTGTGCCTCGGCCTCAGTCCTGCTTCTGTTTGTTCATGGACTCACGGGAGGGGGATAGTGAGGCCTCGTGGAAGCTGGTGCATCGTGTCTGTCAGGAAAAGTTGTGTGACAGTGGACAGTCCCACTCCATTTCACCCTACTTCAGTTTCCTCATGTAGAATATAGGCTAGGGGCAGCAGGGGACCGTCATCCTGTCCATCTCCTACAATAAGGTGGTAGCAGATGTATTCTGAGAAAGATGAAAAGTATAAAATGTATATATAGTGCATTTTTAAAAAAAGATTTTATTAATTTATTTTACAGAGAGAGAGAAAGAGCACACAAGTTGGGGGAGAGGGAGAAGGAGGATCCCTGCTCAATAGGGAGCCTGACATGGGGCTTCATCCCAGGACCCTGGGATCATGACCTGAGCCGAAGGCAGACGCTTAACTGACCGAGTCGCCCAGGTGCCCCATACGGTGCATTCTTAAATTTAGTGAAAACAACACACACACTAAAATCAAAGTAATCGATATTGTCCTTCTCTTTGTTCATGTCCTTGTGGGTAAGTCTCCTGGGTGGTGTGTGGCATACTGTCCCCATTGGGCATCTAGGGCTTTTCCTTAATACTTAACGACAGGAGAATCGGTGGCATTCAGGGTGGTGTGTGTATGTGCAACTTACACATGGAAGTGACATTATGGAACTTAGGCATGGTGACAGTCACATTCTTTCAGGACACCGGATTGGGGAGAAGGCTACTCTGACTCAAGTGTGAAACTTGGAATGTTTTAAAATAGTTTTAGGATTGGAGCGCCTGGGTGGCTCAGTGGGTTAAGCCTCTGCCTTTGGCTCAGGTCATGATCTCAGGGTCCTAGAATCGAGCCCCGCATCGGGCTGCTCAATGGGGAGCCTGCTTCCTCCTCTCTCTCTCTGCCTGCCTCTCCACCTACTTGAGATCTCTGTCTGTCAAATAAATAAATAAAATCCTTAAAAAAAAAATAACAGGGCGCCTGGGTGGCTCGGTGGATTGGGCCTCTGCCTTCGGCTCAGGTCATGATCTCAGGGTCCTGGGATCGAGGCCCGCATCGGGCTCTCTGCTCAGCGGGGAGCCCACTTTCTCCTCTCTCTCTCTATGCCTGCCTCTCTACATACTTGTGATCTCTTTCTCTCTGTTTCAAATAAATAAATAAAATCTTTAAAAAAACAAAAAAACAAAAAAAATAGTTTTAGGATTTTTATTTTTATTTTTTAAAATATTTTATTTATATCTATATTTGTTTATTTATATCTGCCTGATATTACACAGCATGCCTGATGTATCAGAAATGTGGGCTTTGCAGATTCTAGTTAATGAGGTGGGACTATAGACAAACAGCTTAAGAGCTGAGAGTTAAACATTTATCCTTTGCTGACCCTCAGGCCTGCTTATCTGTTGTGAATAGGAGGAAGTTTATTTTATTTTTTAAAATATTTTACTTATTTATTTGACAGAGAGAGACACAGCGAGAAGGGAGTGGGAGAGGGACAAGCAGGCTTCCTGCTGGGCGGGGAGCCCAATGTGAGGCTCGATCCCAGGATGCTGGGATCATGACCTGAGCTGAAGGCAGACGCTTAATGACTGAGCCACCCAGGCGCCGGAAGTTGATTTTATATTCTCTTTTTTTTTTTTTTTTTTGGCCCCCTCACATACCCTCCAACATAAAACACAAAGGTCAGCATGGATGTCCTTTTTTTTGGGTATTTACTTGCAGATGTCTTTAATCATCTGTTTGTCTGTCTCATGCTTGTATAGGTCTTTGCACAGTGGGATGCTTTTAATTTATCCTATAAAATGCCAGTAGAATCCTTTTACTATGTAATGATTCACTTTCATGGGTTAGATCATCTTTTCTATGTTTATAACACATCACTCGGAACAAATAGAAACCTCAGTACACCTATTATCCTGGTTGTCCAAATTGCTCTTCGCAATAGAGTGTTGCTTTTGTATTTACTGAAATGCTAGAAAATTACATGTTCTAGACTGCGGTCTATACCAGTGTTTCTCAACCTTTGCAGTTTAGAATGTTCTTGGAAGATTAAAGACTGGAGTGGTTCCCTAAGAATAGCGGGGGGTGGGGGGGGTCGCGCGCCTGGGTGGCTCAGTGGGTTAAGCCACTGCCTTCGGCTCCGGTCATGATCTCAGGGTCCTGGGATCGAGCCCCACATTGGGCTCTCTGCTCAGCAGGGAGCCTGCTTCCTCCTTTCTCTCTGCCTGCCTCTCTGCCTGCTTGTGATCTCTCTGTCAAAAAAAAAAAAAAAAAAAAAAAAAAAGAATAGCAGGGGGTACAGAAGGCAAGGACATCTGTATCTTTTAAGAGCTCTTGGTGATCCTAATGGGCAGCCTCCATTGAGAACCGGGTCCATATCTTTAATGATAGCAACAATAAAAATTCTATAGATCATCTTGCCTTGTTTTTCCCCCTAAGATTTGATTTATTTATTTGAGAGAGAGAGACAGCATGAGTGGTAGGGGCAGGGGGCGGGGGGGGGGAGAGAGAGAGAGAGAAAGAATATCTCAAGCAGACTCCACGCTGAGCCTGGAGCCCAATGTGGGGCTTGATCCCAGGACCCGGAGATCATGATCTGAGCCAAAACCAAGAGTCGTTTGCTCAACTGACTGTGCCACCCAGACACCCCAAGATCATTTTGATTTTACGTGGCTTTCCCCCCAAGTATCTTCTCATCTAAAAACTCAGAGTTGGGGTGCCCAAGTGGCTCAGTTCATTGAGTGTCTCTGCCTTTAGCTCAGGTCATGATCCCAGGATCCTGGGATCAAGTCCTGCATCAGGCTCCCTGCTCCATGAGCCTGCTTCTCCCTCTCCTTCTGCTATTCCGCCTGCTGTGCTCTCTCTCTCTCTGTCAAATAAATAAAATCTGTAAAAATAAAAATTAAGGGCGCTTGGGTGGCTCAGTGGGTTAGAACCTCTGCCTTCGGTTCAGGTCATGATCTTGGGGTCCTGGGATTGAGGCCTGTGTCAGGCTCTCTGCTCAGCGGGGGGGCCTGCTTCCCCCTCTCTCTGCCTGCCTCTCTGCCTACTTGTGATCTCTCTCTCTGTCAAATAAATAAAATTTTTTTTTTAAAAGATTTCATTTATTTAGGGGCGCCTGGGTGGCTCAGTGGGTTAAGCCTCTGCCTTCGGCTCAGGTCATGATCTCAGGGTCCTGGGATCGAGCCCCACATTGGGCTCTCTGCTCAGCAGGGAGCCTGTTTCCCCCTCTCTCTCTGCCTGCCTCTCTGCCTACTTGTGATCTCTCTGTTAAATAAAGAAATAAAAGGGGCGCCTGGGTGGCTCAGTGGGTTAAAGCCTCTGCCTTTGGCTTGGGTCATGATCCCAGGGTTCTGGGATCGAGCCCCGCATTGGGCTCTCTGCTCGACGGGGAGTCTGCTTCCTCCTCTCTCTCTGCCTGCGTCTCTGCCTACTTGTGATCTCTGTCTGTCAAATAAAAAAAAATAAAAATAAAAAATCTAAAAAATATATATATAAAAAAAGATTTATTTATTTGACAGAGATCACAAGTAGGTAGAGAAGCAGGCAGAGAGAGAGGAGGAAGCAGGCTCTCCGCCGAGCAGAGAGCCCAATGCGGGGCTCGATCCCAGGACCCTGAGATCATGACCTGAGCCAAAGGCAGATGCTTTAACCCACTGAGCCACCCAGGCGCCCCAAATAAATAAATTTTAAAAAAATATTTAAAAATAAAAATTAAAAAAAATCTCAGAGTTAACAGTGAGAGATGGTGGTTACTAGCTCTATTTTAGACATGGGATAGGAAAGTAACTTGCATGCACAGAAATAGTTACCCAGCTGGGTAGTGGTGGAACCAGACCAAGTCCTGCAGCCCTGGAGCTCGGCAATTCAGTGTGTTCTCTTACTAGAGGGCCTGAGTAGGACTGGTACTTGTTGGGTCCCTTCAAGACTCAACAGAGCCATGAAAATACTACTTTATAAAATTATCTGTCTTTGGTTTTTGTTTTTGTTTTTGGTTGTTTGTAAGATTGATTCTATGTATGTATGTATGTATGCATTTATTTATTTCTCTGTTTAAGAGAGAGAGTGCACGTGCATGAGTGAGGGGAGGGGCAGAGGGAGAGAATCTCAAGCAGACTCCAGCATGAAGCCTGACTCGGGGCTTGATCCCACGGCCCTGAGATCAGGACCTGAGCTGAAATCAAGAGTCAGACGCTCAACCTACTGAGCCTCCCAGGCACCCCTGTCTTCATTTTTTAATATCCTTTCCTCTATATTTGACCCAGTTAGCCTTCCCCAGAGACGTCTTTGCTCCCTGGCCTACAGGTAGATCATCCTTCTACGTCTTCCAGTCAGGTCTTCTCTTTCCTTCACTTACTTAGCTTCTCCCTCATCTCCCAGCTGCTCCTTTCCTTTTATGCTCTGTCACATTGTCTTCATTCCTGCAGTGCCGCTTGTCACCTTCATGTGGTGACTCTCTGAGTCCCCTCAGGACATGCTTAGCTCTTGTCAGCACCGCTTGGCAATGCGCAGACGTCTGTGCCTCATCCAGAAGCTTATGAGTGGCTTGGCTGCCTGAATCTTTGTCATCCTCTGCCCTTCCTCAACTGTCTGGCTCCTCGGACGTAGCAGAGTAAATGTTTACAAATGGATACGTGCATCATCTTTCCTCAGCTTCCCCGTCCCTGTTAGTGGCAGGCATGCAAAGGCATGGTCCTTCCGATCGTCTTTGACATGTCCTTTGAAAGTTCCTCTGACCCAATCCCCAAGACCTCCTTTCCTTTCAAAAAGGACCGCCCTGCTCAAGATCCGTTGACCCTAAGTCAGCACACATGGAACATACGATCATTAGGCAGTTGTCTGGGATTCATAGGTGAGTACACTATGGTCCCAGCTACCTAGGAGTTTAAGGAAACCTGGTAGGAGAGAGAAACACCTACACAGCTAATAGAAGGACCAGATAGTGCTGATTTAGTACTTAACTTTGTGCCATGCACTCTTCTGATGCCTTGGTCTTCCCAAATCCTTCTTGAACTACAACTTATCCTGTTCAAGAAATCCTGGGAAAGAAGTCCTGTTGGCATTGTCCATAGTCTCCAATGGTGAGGATGGTAACTGGGTTGAAGGCAGCTGGGGGAGGGGTCTTCAGCAGACTGAGGACCCCTGGGAAACTGCACAAAGGCAAGTCTTGTCCACCAGATACCAGCTCCTCCAGTTAAACCTTAGAGCGCCCATCACAGCTGACCCAACAGCCATGGCCTCTGGTCCATTTCTTGCTGCCAGTGTGGCTCCTGTTAAGGCAGCACCTGTGATGGAGTTCCAGAGATCTTCCTGCCCCTCGCTTGAACCCTTCAACAGTTAGTGGTGGAAAACAGACCTCCCTCAACTGTAAAGCTACTGCCCAGCTGTGGAGGCCTGATTTTAATAGCTCTCAAACTCCCTTGAAGTCTCTGGTTTATTCCACCTGGAGAATGGTGAGAACCTTTAATTGCCTGAAAGATACCAGTATCTATGATACTCATCATAAAGGCCCCCCACAGGGCATGGCCCTCACTCTACTCCTCCATCTTGACTCCAGTGATGTGAATGAGGCCACACAAGCTGGGTGGAGCCCGACAGCAGTGGCCCACAATCAGTTCTTAATTCTATAGTGTTTTTCAAACCGATCGTTTTAATAGGAAAAAAAAAAAAAAACAACAAACTAAAACTAAAGGGTTATGCCCCTCCGTTATTGGTTTAAAATACTATTTTTTTTAAGATTTTATTTATTTATTTATTTTAGAGAGCGTGAGTGTGGGGAGGGAAGGAGGGAGAGAGAGAGTCTCCAGCAGACTCTCTGCTGAGTGCAGAGCCTGATGCAGGGCTTGATCCCACAACCCTGAGATCATGACCTGAGCCAAAATGAAGAGTCGGACACTTAACCAACGGAGCCACTGAGGCACCCCTGGACATTTTTATTAAGAATGTTTTAAACCAGGGCACCTGGGTGGCTCCGTCAATTAGTGTCTGTCTTTCAGGTCAGGTCATGATCTCCGAGTCCTGGGATCAAGGCCCATGTAGCTCTCCCTGCTCAGTGGGGAGTCTGCTTCTCCTATCTCTGTTCCTCCCCTATCCTGTCCCCTGCCCCATGTGCACTCTTTCTCTCTCAAATAAATAAAATCTTAAGAAAAAATGTCCAGGGGCGCCTTGGTGGCTCAGAGGGTTAAAGCTCTGCCTTTGGCTCAGGTCATGATCCCAGGGTCCTGGGATCGAGCCCCATGTTGGGCTCTCTGCTCAGCTGGGAGCCTGCTTCCCCCTCTCTCTCTGCCTGTCTGTCTACTTGTGATCTCTGTCAAATAAATAAATAAAATACTTAAAAAAAGAAAAAATGTCCAAAAGACATAACTTAGGAAGACATTCTTTATGCTTACAGTTGTTGTAGAATTCTAAGTGAAAATACACAACTGTTAAGAAGCCATATTCGAAAAACATTGAAGTTAATGTTACAGATAATACTGTTTTGATGAAACTACTTTGCCTCTTGCAGCGTGAGTGTGGTTTCGGCCCTTCCACACAGGCACTTGTCAGTCAGTCAGCCACAGTCAGTCAGCTTTTACTGTCTGTTGTGTGAGGTTTGTTCGATTTTCCATTCTTTTTTCTCTCAGAACCTCAGGGCAATATTTGTTTGGCAAACATTGGACATAAGTTGGCTCCCCCTCTTTTGGCTTGAAAGCATAATTAACTTATTCAGTCACCTCTGGTCTTTTCTCATGATCTTCCCAAGTGAAGAATTGCTGCTTATGCCCATGTGACAACCCACAGCCAAACACACCCCGCACAACTGCGTATGCGGTCATTGATATCATTCTAGGTAATGAGATGATCCAGAATCTGTGTATGGTTTCCGGTTTGCCTCAGAATAAAAGCATAACCTACAGGCTGGGTAAAGGAGGCTTGAGAAGCCCTGAGCAAATGTCCACGCCCCAGGTTGAGGGATAATTTTCTCCACAGAAATGGCATCAAATGTGTGGAAACGATCTCCACTGAATGGTGAGCTCCATGCCGACCAGCCCCGGGTCTTTCCGTGCGCCACATGGAGCTCAGGGTGTAGCCCTGCGAGGCACCTGGAGAGCCGGTCCGGCTCCGACCAGCTGGAGTCCTCTGTCCCTCATCCTCAGTGGTATGTGTAGGTCTGTAAGAGTTGACATTTCCTGATTGTGTTTTTTTGTCTTGAACCAGGAAAAAAGAGGAAAAACTGGACTGGATGTATCAGGGTCCTGGCGGGATGGTGAACCGCGATGAGTACTTGCTGGGGCGCCCCATTGACAAGTACGTTTTTGAGAAGATGGAGGAGAAGGAGGCAGGCTGTTCTTCGGAGACTGGACTACTCCCAGGCTCCATTTTTGCCCCTTCCGGTGCCAATTCCCTTCTTGACATGGCCAGCAAAATCCGGGAGGACCCACTCTTCATCATCAGGTACTGATGACGGGCTAGGAAGGGTTTGCTTTTTTTTTTTCCAGAGTTGCTTGGCTTTGCAATTGGTTTCCTCTTGGCTTTTTCCTGCCCTGTAAAACGCTTTGTCTCCATTTGGTTCCCCTGATGTTGGGAAGGAGGATCCATCAAGGGCTTCTTATGTAGGCCATGTGATAAGAGATGGCAGGTGGACCAGACCAGACCAGATTATTCATTTACCCTTGGCCTTTGAACAAAATAGGAGTTAGAAGCATGGTGAGAAAGGCTGGCAGCTTCTTGGGAATTTGGGGCTATGTACAGAGCAGGATAGGTGGGTGAGCAGGCCTTCTAACTCCCCAACCCCTTTTTTTGGCTCAGTGGGTTAAAGCCTCTGCCTTCGGCTTGGGTCATGATCCCAGAGTTCTGGGATCGAGCCCCACATTGGGCTCTCTGCTCAGCAGGGAGCCTGCTTCTTCCTCTCTCTCTGCCTGCTTCTCTGCCTACTTGTGATCTCCGTCTGTCAAATAAATAAATAAAAATCTTAAAAAAAAAAAAAAGAAGAAGAAACCTTAGAATCTTCCTTAAAACTCTAATATGTAACATATCGAAGTAGAGTTGTGTTTTGGGAGCCAACTCATGCTGTGCCTCTTAATTTTTTTGGTTTAATTTGCAGCATTTTATTTCAGGTGTATAAGGTTGAACATCGAAAAACATTTGTCATTTATATTTCTAATTTTGAAAAAATTTTAAAGGTATTTACATGGTAAAAATATCACATAGATGTATGTAATGATACTGTGTATGTATGTGCAAATTTTTTCTCCCATTTTGTTAGCTTCTTAATTAGTTAAATCGTGGTTCATAAAGTCTAACATAAAATATACAGTTGTTTTTTTTTTAAAGATTTTGTTTATTTATCTGAAAGAGAGAGAATGAGAGCGAGAGCACGAGATGGGGAGGGTCAGAGGGAGAAGCAGACACCCTGCTGAGTGGGGAGCCCGATGCGGGACTCCAACCCGGGACTCCAGGATTATGACCTGAACCGAAGGCAGTCGCTTAACCAACTGAGCCACCCAGGCACCCTGTAAAATTTACAGTCTTAACCACCTGTAAGTGTACAGCCCAGTGGCAATAAGTACATTCACCCTATTGGGCAGCCATCAGGACCAACCATCTTCAGGAGTTTTTCACCTTGCAAAACTGAAAACTCTTTACCCATGAAACAAGAAGTCCATGTTTCCCCTCCCCCCAGCCCCTGGGAACCACCATACCACTTCCTGTGTCTGTGAGCTTGACTCTTCTAGGAATCTCACATGAGGGAAATCGCACAGTAATTATATTTTTGTGGGACTGGCTTATTCACTCAGCATAAGGTCTTCACAGGTTCATCCGCCTTATAGCATGTGTCAGAATTTCTTCCACCCCTCCTTTTTTTTTTTTTGAGACTTTATGTGTTTTAGAGAGTGCAGGAGAGCAGGGCCAGGGCCAGAGGGGGAGAGAGAACCTCAAGCAGACTCCCTGCTGAGCGGGGAGCCCTGCGAAGAGCCCGAACCCACAACCCGAGACGAAGTCTATAGTCAGTCACTCAGCCGACTGAGCCACCCAGGCGCCCTCCTCCCTTCTTAAGGCCGAATAATACTCTGTCATACAGATTCTGTTTGTCTCTTCATCTGTCAATGGACGTTTGGGTTTTTCCCCCTTTTTGGCTGTTGTGAATAATGTTTGTTCTGAACATTGATGTACAGATATTATGCGTATTATTTTATAAACTCCTTTTTTTCACCACGTTAAATATAGGAGACATCTTTCTATGTCATTAACTGTGCTTTTATAGTACTGTTCTTTTTATGTCTGCGTTATGTGGATATACCATAATTTATTGATTAATATTCTCTTATTGGGCCCTAACTTGTTTCCAAATTTTCATTGTTATAATGTGGACAGCTTTGTAGAGACCTTCCTAGATTATATCCTTACAGTAACAAATTCTTTTTCTTTTTTTTTTTTTTAAGATTTTATTTATTTAATTGACAGAGATCATAAGTAGGCAGAGAGGCAGGCAGAGAGAGAAGGGGAAACAGGCTCCCTGCTGAGCAGAGAGCCTGATGCAGGGCTCCATCCCAGGACCCTGGGATCATGACCTGAGCCGAAGGAAGAGGCTTTAACTCACTGAGCCACCCAGGCGCCCCACAAATTCTTAAGAATTTATAGGATTAAAGAGCACACAGGCTGTGATAAGTGTTGCCAAATTATCTTCCATGGAGGCTGACCAGTTTACCCTCATGAGCAATAAATGAGAGTAAGAACTTTTTTTTTAAGGATTTTATTTATTTATTTGACAGAAAGAGAGAGAGCACACAGGCAGGGGGAGTGACAGGCAGAGGGAGAAGCAGGTTTCCCTGGGATCATGACCTGAGCCAAAGGCTGACATGTAACCTACTGAGCCACTCAGGGGCCTGAATTTTTTTTTCTTTTTCTTTTTTTTTTTTTTTAATTTGACAGGAAGAGATTACAGGTAGGCAGAGAGGCAGGCAGAGAGAGAGGAAGGGAAGCAGGCCCCCCGCCGAGCAGGGAGCCCAATGCGGGGCTCGATCCTAGGACCCTAGGACCGAGACCCAAGCCAAAGGCAGAGGCTTTAACCCACTGAGCCACCCAGGCGCCCCTTTTTTTTCTTTTTTAAAGATTGATTTTATTTATTTTAGAGAGGTGGGAAAGGGGCAGAGGGAGAGAGAGAATCTCAAGCAGATTCCCCACTGAGTGTGGAGCTAGATGCAAGGCACTCTCTCATGACGCTGAGATCCCAACCTGAGCTGAGATCAAGAGTCGGACACTCAACCGACTGAGCTGCCCCGGCGCCCCTAGAGTAAGACTTCTTGAAAGAGGAATCTATTCTCTTTGTTTCCCAGCTGGTTGTCGTGCTAAGTAGTGCAGGTGGCATTGAAATGCTGCAGCCAGTTGATACACAGGATGCCCTCCCCCCCATTTACTCAACCAGCTGGGAAGCCCTGAGCATAAAGCCTACCAAGGAACAGCCCACACATGCTCTTCTCTACCACAGGGACGTAGTGTGGCCTTGCCCCCCAGCATTCAGTCCCTTCTGTAGGTTTGAGGAATAAACCCGAAGGCTTCCACAACACCATGCAGCTTTCCACCCAGAGCCTTTCCGTGTGCATTTGGAAAAAAAGATCGCTGTGTAGACTTGGTGGAGAGTAGAGTGAATGACTTAATCCCCTTGCCAAAAGAGAGAGTCATGATTTTTTATCATTTCCTTTTTTTTTTTTTTTTTTTTTTTTTTTTAGGAAGAAGGAGGAGGAGAAAAAAAGAGAGGTGTTGAATAATCCTGTGAAAATGAAGAAAATCAAAGAATTGGTAAGTAGTGTGTCAAATAAGCACTAGTAGGATCCTGTAGGTACCTAACCTGAGAACTTCTCGCATTTCACTCTCACTTCATGAGCGGGAAAGCAGAATGATTCCCTCCTTTATGTTACTTGGTTGGAAAAGCAGCATGTGAGGTCAGTTTTTTAAGAAATGAGGTGTATGGGACATGCTGTGGAAATCTTGGTCATACGGTGTGTTCAAGAGATCACGTGATGTCAACCCCCTAGGGCCCATTTATCATTCACGGGACGGACCGTGTGATTGTGTTTTGGGTTAGTTGGTAAGGAAAATGTAAAAATTGATCTTGCAGTCCCTGATGGCTTTCAGTGGAGTTGGAGTTCTTCTGACCAATTGGAAATTTTGAGGCCTGGGCTCTGGGGATGGTTTACGAAGAGATCCTTAGCCCCGCCCCTGAGATTCCGCTCCAGGGTCCAGGGGGTGCTTGTGCACTGCTGGGTTAGCACTTGCCCTCCTCCTGTTGACAGGAAGCTCTGCTAGCATCTCAGACCGCTGTAAAGCCAGAGGTACAGAGTCAGGTAGTGTGGGCGTGAACCAGGCCCCTCAGGGCCCTCCCTGATCTTGCCTGTCTATGTTTTGCCTATTTTCTAGTTGCAGATGAGTCTGGAAAAAAAGGAGAAGAAGAAAAAGAAGGAGAAGAAAAAGAAGCACAAGAAACATAAGCACAGAAGCTCCAGTAGTGATGGTTGCAGTAGCGAGGAGGAGCGCAGCCGGGGGAGGTGAGCACGTGGAGGCAGGCCCCCCACCATGACTCATTGACTCATTCATTCTCCGGATAGTCACGGACTGTGCTTTGTGTGGGGAGCTGCCAGGCACTGGGGTTTCAGGGGTGAGCACTCTCATGTGGGCCCCCTGGCCCACAGAACTCATCACCCAGCACCCACGCCGATTGGAGGTCTGGGTGAAGCCCCTTTCGGAGCTGATCATGTAGGTCTCAGCACAGCCCTCCTAGATGTGACTTTCATTTCGGCTGGTGACTTTTCCAAGATGGAAGTGGATTTTATGTAGCCTTCTTTTCTTTCCTTTTTTTTAAAAAAATGCATTAATGGGCCCATCTGGGCCCATTCTGTGTGTCTTCTCTGTGGGAGCAGTGAGCACTGTCGCTGCTGACTCACTCTTAGTCCCCAGAATAGCAGCACGAGGCCAGAGGAGAACGTGTTCAGGCGTTGGGGCTGAAAAGCCAGGCCCACGGATTTTCACAGGAAAAACATGGCTGTGCTGACACGTCCTCCAGCAGACAGTGCACATAGACAGCCACGCTGCCGGGCGACTGCACCAGCGGGAAAGGTCATGTCCAGAGCAGGAAGCACGCTTCAGCGTGAGATTGAAACTGGGCCTTGAGGTGTTTTCTGCTTCAGTGACTATGTGTTTGAATCATTTAGATCTCAAAAGAAGGTGGCAGATTCTTCCCCTTTGCTGTCCAGAGCCCCGGGATATGGCTTACAGGTAAGGCTGTGAGCATCTCGGGGGGTGACCATGGGCTGTAGAATGTGTTTGCTTGAGAGCCTGTTTGGACAGAGAGCATCTCCCGCAGCCCGCCCGACATCATGAGGGAAGGCGGGAGTTTGGGCCGCCAGGGTGGGGGCTGCCGGGGAGCTGGCCCATTCTTTATCCCTGAGCCTCTGGCTGGGGCTCAGGGTCCTCTGAGCAGAGACCCTACACCACCAGTGGGGCCTTAGGCATTCGGCCTCTCCCTCTGCCGATAATTTCCACGAAACGCAGGCATTTTAGGCTTCTAGGTTGATGGCTTTTGACAGGTGGACGTCCCTCTAGATTCCTCTTCTCTTTAGTAGGTTTAACCTTAGGTCCCGGTCTCCGTGCTGTCTCTTGCGGCTGCCCGGGCCGTGGTGAAGAGTCAGGCAGTGCAGGTGGCTGCTGGGACGCATGCTCTGAGGGGATTCTGCAGAGAACTTTGCTAAGTTTGAGTGCTTCTCTGGGGTAACTGTGTGGTGGGCGCAGTACGCCCGCTTGGCTTCTTACAGAACCACAGTGCTCATTGATTTCCTTGTTTCACTGCGTTTTCTCCGGAGCTACAGATGCCTCTATGAATACCTTCTCTTCCTTTCCTTGATGCTACAGATCAGGGACTCCTACCATAGCCAGGGAGCGCAGAGTTCTCCGATGGCCAAGCAAAAGGGAACGCACGGGTTGAAGAATTATTCCAGGTCCAGAAGCTCCTCCCACTCACCTCCCAGACATGCCAACAAGAAGAGCACCCGAGAAGCAGGGGCCCGGGACAGGAGTTCTCGATCCCCAGGCAGAAGGTCACGGTCCCCGAGGCCAAGCAAAGCGTGAGTGTGGGAATTCACTGGGAAATGGCCTATAAATGTGGGGCTGGTCACAGCAGGTATTTGCTTTTGCTGATGTCTGCTCATTAATTTTTCCAAATGTCTTTGCTTTATCTCCTTTATAATGTGTGTCTGTCCACCCCTGCCCTCCTGCCACCAGCCACCTCAATGTAAATCTCAGGCCCCTAGAACTACAGATTGATCTATGTAGAATCTTCGGAGTGAGTCTAATATCAAATCTTATGTATCTTTATGTGTTTGCTTTTCTTCTACTTCTGCCCTCTGTTCTCTTCAGTTTGGATTATAATTCTAAGACCGTTAGCTTTTCTCCCATTATTTGAGGGACATGATAAAAGCCCCTGTGTTGAAAAGGCTTTTCTCCTGTCTGCCCTCTGTGCGTCTGTCACAGGCACAACTCTAAGGTCAACAGAAGAGAGAGAGGCCGAACTAAGAGCCCATCACCTAAAAAGGAGGTCTACCAAAGGCGGCACGCCCCTGGATACACCAGGTGAGTCAGGAGGCCCGGACCTGAACTGCAGACTCCCTGGGCCCGAGTCTAGGAGTGGCTTAAACCAGGGCAGGTGGATAATCAACTTTTATTCTTCTTGTCATAACAGTCTGTCCCACCTCCCTTCCCTGCAAGGCACATTGGAAGGACAAAGTAATAGTTTTACCTTGATGAACAATTGATTAAGTGACTGTCTCTGAACATCTGTAAACGTGTTGATTCTCACAAGAGATTTCCACAGAGAAGCTTTTCCCTAGAGAGTGTTCCTTTCCTGAGGCATCAGCTAAGGGGGAAGCAGGGTGCTGTCCTTGAGGGCAGACACCCTAAGATGGACTCTGTGTTGGAGCTGGGTGTGGAGTGGGTCAGACAGAACAGGGGCCTGCGGCCCTGGGCCCTGCGGCCCTGGGACCTGAGGGGAGTTGGCTCTGCCCACGAAAGACTGTCTGTAGGAGTCTTGCTCTTTATAGAAGTCTAGAGGAGCCGGGCAACTTTTGTGAACTTCCTTTTACTGCCCAAACAAGTTGGCTACATAGTAGAATTATCTGGGCAGCTTAAAAAAAGTTCCATTACCTGGCTACAGCCCAGCCCTATAACATCATGATCTTGGGTGGTGGGGGCAGACATCAGTATTTTTAAGGCTCCCCGGTGACTTCAACAGGCAGCCAATGTTGAGGACAGCTGGGAGTCTGCACCACCTCTTGTATTCACTATGTTAAAAATAGTGCAGACTCTACAGGTCCCTTTTAACTCTTGATTGCCTGATTCCCAAAGTTTAGTTTCTTTTTCTTTTTTTTTTTTTTTAATTTTATTTATTTATTTATTTATTTATTTGACAGAGAGACACAGCGAGAGAGGGAACACAAGCAGGGGGAGAAAGAATAGCATGAGAGAGGGAGAAACAGGCTTTCCACTGAGCAGGGAGCCCGATGCAGGGCTCGATCCCAGGACCCTGGGATCACCTGAGCTAAAGGTCGACGCTTAACGACTGAGCCATCCAGGCGCCCCTGATTCCTGAAGTTTCTAAGAAACAGAAACTTTCTTAAACGTTTTCATCTTGACTGACAACTTTCTAAAATATGTTATATGTTTCCTTTCCTCACCAGAGTATGTTTTGTAGAATTTGTAGAATTTGTAGAATTTCATCTTTCTCTGGTGACAGTTTTTCAGCTGGGCTGGAGGTCATTCTGCTCCTCCAGTCAATGCTCATGAACATATGTATTTGTTTCTGTGTTTTAAGGCTCTCGGTCAGCGTGTGACTATGCTTTTTCAGATCCTGGTCGTTCTGTCCCTTTTGCCATCTGTCATCACTTTAGTTGGTCATACTTTATCAGCCTTTTTTTATCCCCCTTAGAATTTGTGTTGAATTTTGTGATTTATTTTTTTTTTTACGATTTTTTTTTTTTAATTTATTTGACAGACAGATCACAAGTAGGCAGAGAGGCAGGCAGAGAGAGAGAGGAGGAGGCAGGCTCCCTGCTGAGCAGAGAGCCTGATGCGGGACTCGATCCCAGGACCCTGAGATCATGACCTGAGCCGAAGGCAGAGGATTTAACCACTGAGCCACCCAGGCGCCCCGAATTTTGTGATTTAAATGGGTTAGAACCCTCAAGACCTCTCTCTCCCATCAGTAAAAGCACAGAAACTTTAGTACATAGATTTTGTGATCTCATTGTCCATTTTGGTTTGGTGTTCCAGGTGGTTGAGGTTGCTTTATGTAATTAAGATGATGGTGAATTAAGATAAAAAGAGAAAAATTATGGCTGTAATGGGGAATTTTGTCAGAATTTTTAAATGCATGTGTTTTCTTTTGTGTGTATGTTTTCTTTTAATTGGTGGTCGAAAACGGCTCTAAACAGCTGAAAAGATGAAGCTTCTCTTTTGTGCTAAGGTGCTCGATTTAAAGCAGTTTTGGGGCCACCAAAATTTGATGGGGTGGCTCAGTTGGTTAAGTGTCCAACTCTTGATTTCAGCTCAGGTCATGGTCTCACAGTCCTGGGATTGAGCCCCAGATAGGGCTTCATGCTCAGTGGGGAGTCCTTGAGGTTCTCACTTTTGCCCTCTGCCCTGCTCCCTGCTTGTGAGCTCTCTTTCTCTCAAAATGATTAAATAAAGGGGCACCTGGGTGGCTCAGTGGTTTAAGTCTCTGCCTTCGGCTCAGGGTCCTGAGATCAAGCCCTGCATCGGGCTCTCAGCTCTGCAGGGAGCCTGCCCCCCACAACATCTGCCTGCCTCTCTGCCTACTTGTGATCTCTCTCTCTGTCAAATAAATAAAATGAAATAAAATGATTAAATAAGACCTTTTTTTTAAAAAAAAGCAATTTTTACAGGATAAGACTATTTTTTTCTTGTAAAATTTTTTTGGGGTCTTGTGGGATTCCCATTTAATATTTTCCATTGCTTTTGAAATTACAAATTTTTTTACAGGCAACACAGCACTTTTATAATTTTTGAAATATTTTATTTACTTATTTTAGAGAAATTTATTTATTTTGGGGGCGGGGGTCAGAGGGAGAGAATCTCCAGCAGATTCCCTGCTTAGCCAGAGCCCGCAAGCTGATCACTTGAAACCAAGAGTCAGGCAGGCACTCAATGGACTAAGCCACCCAGGTGCCCCTTCCCTAATGTCTGAGAGCTCTTTTATGTTTGATTGTTCCATTTTAAAAACCTTTCTCGGGCACCTGGGTGGCTCATTTGGCTAAGCGACTGCCTTTGGGTTAGGTTGGAAACCCAGGGTTCAGGGATCAAGTCCCACACCGGGCTGCCTGCTCAGCGGGGTGTCTGCTTCCCCCTCTCCCTCTGCCACTCCCCCTGCTTGTACTTTCCCTGTCAAATAAATAAAATCTTTAAAAAATAAATAAAAATAAAAAATAAAAACCTTTCTTGGGACGCCTAGGTGGCTCAGTTGGTTAAGCAGCTGCCTTCGGCTCAGGTCATGATCCCAGCGTCCTGGGATGGAGTCCCACATCTGGCTCCTTGCTCGGCAGGGAGCCTGCTTCTCCCTCTGCCTCTGTCTGCCATTCTGTCTGCCTGTGCTCGCTCTCTCTCCCTCTCTCTCCCTCTCTCTCTCTCTGACAAATAAATAAAATCTTAAAAAAAATAAAATAAAAACCTTTCTCATTTTATCATTGTAATATCTTTCATTTACATATACTTTCGTTTACTTTTCCTTTGGTCTCTTTCCTGTGGGAGGCTTTTCTGAAATGTTTGGCGGTACTTCACTGTCTATTCATATGTAAGAGTAAGGAATTAAAGCTGAGATCACTGTATTGTGTGTGGGCAGCACTTATCTACTGGTGGGAGTTTGGGTTTGAACTGGTTTTTAGCTGGGGATACGCATATCAGTATCTTTGGTTTTCTTGCCAGGAACCAATAAATTTCTTCTCCTTTTTTCTTTTTTTAAACATCTTATTTATTTGACAAAGAGAGAGAGAGCACAAGCAGGGGGAGCAGCAGGCAGAGGGAGAGGGAGCAGCAGACGCCCTGCTGAGCGGGGAGCCCGACACAAGGCTCCATCCCAGGATCCTGGGATCATGACCTGAGCTAAAGGTATATGCTTAACTGACTGAGCCACCCAGGCCCCCAAGAACCATTAAATTTCTATAGAAGGGGGGTGCCTGGGTGACTCAGTTGAATGCCTGACTCTTGGTTATGCTCATGGGGTTGTGGGATCTAGCCTCATGTTGGGCTCCACACTCAGTGAGGTATCTGTGGGAGATTCTCTCTTTCTTTCCTTACCCCTGTTGCATTCTCTCTCTCTCTCAAATAAATAAATACATCCTAAAAATTTTTTTGTGGGGCTCTGGGGTGGTTCAGTGGGTTAAAGCGTCTGTCTTTGGCTCAGGTCATGATCACAGAGTCCTGGGATCGAGCCTACATTGGGCTCTCTGCTCAGCGGGGAGCCTGCTTCCTCCTCTCTCTCTCTGCCTGCCTCTCTGCTTACTTGTGATCTCTCTCTGTCAAATAAATAAATAAAATCTTAAAAAAAATTTTTTTTTTTTCTATAGAAGGAAAAAACCCTCTGGCTCCCTGACCAATGGCTCTAACTCTGGCTTCTGGCATTTTAGGAGACATTCTTTTCACCCCTGGTGGCCCGGCCAGCTTCCTTTGCTGTGCCCGATGTGCCTGCAGCTCCTGATTTCCTGTTTGGCTTAGTTCTTCAGAAATTACCAGAAGGGTCTCCTTTCTGGAGGACCTCCTGTCTTGTTTGGGAGAACAATCTCTGGCTTCCCCAAGTTAGGCATGAGGACCCAGGGTGTCTTGATTGCTCCTCATATAGACTTTAGATCAGTCCCTTTGTTTTCAACTTTACCGCCATCTGCTACTTGGTGCCTGCAGTCTCTGAACCTTTCCTGGATTTTGCTTCTGATTAGTATTGGGCACTTAAAGAGACTGAGTTTTCTCTAATCTCTGAAAAGTAGTTGCTACCCCTTCATCTGCTTCCCTCTTCCGACAATTTTTTTTTTAAAGAGTTTTAAATTTATTTCAGAGAGAGAAAACAAGTAGGCAGAGAGGCAGGCGGCAGGGGGTGGGGGGAGGGAGCAGGCTCCTTGCTGAGCAGAGAGCCCGATGTGGGGCTGTATCCCAGGACCCTGAGATCATGACCTGAGCCGAAGGCAGAGGCTTTAACCCACTGAGCCACCCAGGCACCTCTCCAACAATTTTTAGACCTCTTTTATCCAATGTCCTCTCTTCTCCCATTCTCTTTGTGGTTTTATATATTTTATTTAATGGGTTTTTTTAAATGAAGCATTGTCATTTCACTATAGACAACTAAATGTTAAGTTTTAGTGTCTTAAGTTTCTGTCTCAAAATTGAGCTCCACTCCCTAATGAGACTCCACCAAATATTTTTCCTCTTAAAAGGGGATCTTTTAAATGGGCTTATCACATCCATTTGACAATCAATGGATTTGAATTTCTGACCTTGTTAAATAGTGATTGAGCTGGTTCACCACCTCCTCTTCTTCCTCTGACTTCATTTGCCATGAGTGTCAGGAAAGAAGACTTATCTACTCTGAGATTAAGTTGAATTGACTTGAATTCTTCTGGCATCTGCATTCTTTTTTTTTTTTTTTTTTAAAGATTTTATTTATTTATTTGACAGAGATCACAAGTAGACAGAGAGGCAGGCAGAGAGAGAGAGAGAGAGAGGGAAGCAGGCTCCCTGCTGAGCAGAGAGCCCGATGCGGGACTCGATCCCAGGACCCTGAGATCATGACCTGAGCCGAAGGCAGCGGCTTAACCCACTGAGCCACCCAGGCGCCCCTGGCATCTGCATTCTAACTTATGCCTAAAGTGGTGTATTCCTGGGCTATGTCCATGGATTTCTAAGCATATCCAGTAGGTAGATGGTAGATGTCAGCAGTCACATGGCTAACTTAGTCCTGTGTTCTTCAATAAGTTGTTGAGCAAACAATCGGAATATTTTGTATTTTATGTTTAGAAATACCACTCCAGAGATTACTGAGAGAGAGAGTATGAAAGTCTTTGAAATTTGGATGAAACCACCTGCCCAAGGTATTAGGAAAGAAGGAGACTCGTGCTGAGGGTGGCCCTGGGTTGAGCATTTCCATAGAGAGAGCAGGGCGGTGGAGAGCCTGGGGTCCTACCTAATTTGTTGTCCCTGTACTGTATGGGTGTTTTTGCTGGGAGAGAAGTAGACCTGATAGGATGGTTTTTGTGTTCAACAGAAAGCTCTCATCGGAGGAACTAGAGCGAAAACGTCAAGAGATGATGGAAAATGCCAAGTGGCGGGAGGAAGAGAGGCTGACCATCCTCAAGAGGCACGCCAAGGATCATGAACGGGAGCAGAGGCTGGAGAAGCTGGGCTCCAGGGATGGGAAGTTTATCCAGTGAGTGCATCTTCTTTTTTTTTTTTTTTTTTTTTTAAGATTTCATTTATTTATTTGACAGAGATCACAAGCAGGCAGAGAGGCAGGCAGAGAGAGAGGAGAAAGCAGGCTCCCCACTGAGCAGAGAGCCCGATGCACAGCTTGATCCCAGGACCCTGGGATCATGACTTGAGCTGAAGGCAGAGGCTTTAACCCACTGAGCCATCCAGGCGCCCCCAGTGAGTGCATCTTCTTGCTGCCTGATGGCTTTCATGGCTGTGGTCCCAAGGAGGCAACTGGGCAGCGGATTCATTCATTGTGTTCCTGGTGTTTCGATGTCTGTGCAGTGAGAATGGGGAGATCAGCCTCCAGGCCACCTTTGTTACTACTCCCAGCATCTAGCTAGACAGTGGGGTATTTCTGATTTGAAGGAAGGAGAAGTGAATTGGTATTTTCATTGGATCTCCTTGCTTTCCATTTAAGTAAGAATTCATGGCTCAGGAGGCCTTTTTCCAATGAGGCTTTACCTGGTTTTTCAAAACAGATAACTTTTCCCTGTTGGACGTTGGTTTAAAAAAATTGAGTTCCAGTTGGAGTCCACTCCAAAGTTACCTATATGAGCTTAAAAGAGCTTAGGTTTCTACATCTGCTTTATGGTTGGCAACCTGTTTCTTCTAAGTCTGCCAGATAGGTGACCACTTGACAAATATGTTACTCACAGATATTCTCCTGTCTTCCTAGCCGCATGAAGCTGGAGAGTGCATCTTCCTCCTCCCTGGAGGATAGGGTGAAACGGAACATCTACTCTCTACAGAGAACCTCAATAGCTCTGGAGAAGAACTTTATGAAAAGATAAAAGCTATCCCCTCTCTTGCTGGCTTTCCTGAATTTTCCAGGGAGGCTATTGATCCCTTAAAAATTCTCTTTATAAGAGTTCAAGTGACTTCTTGCACAGTTGTCAAAGCACCACTGTTCAAAGTGACTCTCTTCCGGTGATTCCTGAAACAGCTTACTTCCTTTGAGAACCAGTGCAACGCACTTTATGGGACACTCAGTAACTTTTGCTGAGTGCCTTGTAGGTTTTAATGGGTGGGCACTGGACACTCTAGGTGTGAGCACTCACCCTGCTCTGGAAGGCTGTTTCCTGTGGTCATGATACTTCTTATGCCACTTTATTCCCCGCTGTGAGAACTGTGTGCCTCAGTGTAGACCAGACCTTGCAGAAACCTCTCTCCGGAGTTGCCCAGATAGACTGTGCTTGGTGGGATAAATGAACATCTTTCTTGATTTAGAAGATCATGTGACAGAATGCTGTCAGCTTAGGGCAGAGCCAAGGAGAGACAAAGAATCTGGAAGGGGACACAATCCAAAAAAGCACTAAATGAGCTGTTGAACTATTTGGACTGTCTTTTGAACTGTAAAAAGTATAGTGTGTATGTGTACAAATGTATAATTTTTACATGCTTTTTAAAAAAGTTAGCTTTGTGAGAACATCTTGTTTGGTAAGTGACTTTACTATATAATGGAACCATATTGTATCTTGTTACCGAGTAATACAGTAATGCAGGTCAGCTTTTTTTCCCCTCTGAATCCAGCTAGTTTAGGAGGAGCCTGGGTTTGTAGATAGGATCCAGGGGATCTATCCTGTTACACTGCTTACAGGCTCCCATGTGGGCAGTGCAGCCGTGAAGTCAAATGATTTTAGGAGTTAGGACCAAATTACCAGTGTGCTCCCACCCTGGCTCTTAAAATAAAATGGAAGCTGTTTTATTTCATGGCTTCCTTTTAATCATGTAGTAATCTTATTACAATTCTATATTTCCAGGAGTTTGCTACTATTTTTTAGTCAGGTATTAAAAACCCCCAAAACTCATGGAACCAGTCTCCTGCCTTTACTCCTTTCCCTTTTCTATTCTTTTACCAGAAGCCCTCATTTGACCCATGAACTCCTCAGGCCCTCTTGACCCACATATTAGCGGGGCTAGTTCCTTGTTCTGCTAATTCCTAATTCTGCTTAAAACGAATTTGGGTTTATATATATGTGCACTTAGATGCTAGGCACTGTAATACTTAAAACCCAGTCTCTCCCCAGAGAGAAAGTAACACTCACTTGTTATTCATTTAATCACCTCATCCTGCTTCTCTATGCTAATTATGTCTTTTATTTTATTACTTGGTAATAAAGGCTACATTTATTTTTGTAACTGTTTAAAGAACAACCACGTGCTGAGTACTGAATTTACGAATTCCCATACAGAACAATACTGACCCGCAATTTGTGTCAAATCTTTGGAGATCCGAATCTTTGGAGATCCTTCTTCCGAGAGGAATTACATAACAAAGCGTGGGCAGTTCACTCACAGATGTCGTGAAGTGTGCCAGAGAATAAGACGATTACAATTTTCTGCTGCAGGATAGGTGTCTTAAGGTGCCGCAGGTCTCTTAACTCGACCCTTTGAAGGGAAGAGGCCAATCGGCAGCTGGGTGGGTGCGGGGCCCATTCATAAAACCCAGGGCTCCGGGCCCGCGGCTCTCATTGGCCCCGGGGGAAAGGGGCGTGACCCGTAGGTGGAGCCCGCGCCAGGCCCAGGGGAGTGGGAAGATCCACACTTGGGTGGAGCGAGGGGGCGTTCCTTGGTTTTCCCGGCAGGACTTCCTTTTCCCCTCGCTGGGTTCTCCTCTCTCCCCCGGGATGGGATGGTACGTCCCACCCTCCTCGCATTCCCGCCCCTCCTCCCCTTCGGAGCCTGGGCGCCGCCGCCATCTTGGCACGTCAGGTTGAGGGGAAGAGCCAAACCCTGGCTTTGGGAGGGGGCGGACAGAGGGACCCTCCCGCGGTGGACGGCGAGCCCTACCCCAGCCCACCTCCCCTTTCCGTTCCGGTGCGGGACTCTGAGTTGTCCTGAGGCCAGCCCGGTTCCCATCAGGCCCGGGGAGGAGGGGCGGGAAGGGCGGCCGCTACCTCCCCGGGACGGACGCTACCACCTGGGCGGGGAGGAGAGCGCCTGGTGACTGCGGGGCGGTGGCTGCGGCGCTCGGGGGCGGGGTTCGGAGCGAGCCGGCTGGCTCGCGGGAGCGGGGCGGGGCGGGGCGGGGCGTGGGGGCGGGGCGTGGGGCGGACGGAACCACCGGGGCGGGGTGGGGAGGTAACGGGACGGGCGCGACCATGGCGCGTTGAGGTAGCGGGGGTGGGGATCGGTCCCGGGGAGGCCTGGGGCCGCTGGCTTGTGCGCCGTCTCGGCCGCCCCCCCCTTTCGCCGCCGCCGCCGCCGCCGCCGCCCCGGGCATGTCGTCCAACTGCACCAGCACCACGGCGGTGGCGGTGGCGCCGCTCAGCGCCAGCAAGACCAAGACCAAGAAGAAGCATTTCGTGTGCCAGAAAGTGAAGCTATTCCGGGCCAGCGAGCCGATCCTCAGCGTCCTGATGTGGGGGGTGAACCACACGGTAACCAGCTCCCCCGCGCGCGCCCCTCGGAGCGCGGCCCCGCGCGCTCCCACGCCCCCCCGCAGGCCCGGCCCTCACCCCGCGGGTCCTGCTGAGGACGCCCGCAGCCTCTCGCCAAACCACTTGCACGCCCACCCCACCCTTGCACGCCGTCCCGGCCGGGTGTGCACTCCCCGCGCGCCAAGCGAGGCCTGGTGTCTCCGACGGTGGTATGCCGACGCCCCCTCCCTCTCCTCCAGCCCCTCTGGTCGGGCTTCCTGCGTGGGGCTTGCTCGCTTCGGGCAGTCCCTGGAGCGCTGGGGGAAGGCCTGGGTGCGGCAGAATCGCTCTCATCCCCTCTCTCTGTTTGTTGCATGTGTTTACCCCCTTGTTCCTTCAACCGGCTGCCAGCTCCCTGTCCAGTTGACAGGGCAAGTGGCCTTGGCCTGCCTGAATATTCCTCTATTTCTGGTTATTTGGTTGGTGCGACTGCTTAAAGTTTCCCATCCTCCAGACCTCCTCACCCCTGACTATGGAAATCCTCCCTGGGTTTCCTTTTCTTCTTCATGAACAAGATGTAACAACTGGAGAAGCACAGGCTTCCTTGAACCACAGACACTTTACCAGGGTCTTCCTCGTTTAGGGAGAAGAGAGAATGTAACCATTTGAGAGAAGGTGAGGCCTGATTATAAGGAAGACTATTCATAGTAGAAATAATGTGCCTTCCTACATTCTCCTATGGTGTTCATCTCAAAGACGCTGAGTTCTCTTTTATTGAGCTTTCTGTTGTAAGGTCGTGAAAGGGGTGATAATGGTCGGAGGTTAGGATGAGAGGGTGGTCCCCTGGACCCTTGGGGTGCTTTGAGATTGTCCTATCAGGAATTTGGAGCCCAGCTTTGGTGCTTAAGCTGGAGGACTTTGTGCCCTGTTTGTTTAGGGTCTTTCTTTTTTCTTTTCCAACCACCTGTTCCTTGCCTTCTGACCATTTGCACTGTGAGTCCCTACACCAGGAATGATGAGAGGAAGTAAAAGGACCTGAAACACCCAACTTCACCAACTACAAGTTTGGAATGAGGAAGATGAAACTATTGGCTTGGGTTGCCTGTGAATTTCAGTTCTTCAGGCACGCTGATTTTTCAGAGCATTTGAAATAGCCCACAAGACCAAATGATAACAGAGGGGCCTGGGGCCAGCAAGGCTTTTTGTTTTCCTTTGTAGAGGAGCAAACCTCTGGAGAGGGTTGGCTGGAGATCCATGAACCTTAGTCTGAGCCAGAGTGTTAAGAGCTTCAATCTAATACGGAAAAGTGCATGCTTATGGTGAGGTCTTTGTTGGTGTTTTGGTCTCGGACAGGTTACTGTTTTCAGGAACCTCCCTCAGGTGAGAGTCCTGGCCAGGGTAAGGGAGTAGCGTGGGTTTAGTGCCCAGACCCCTGGAAGCAGCTTTGGGGCAGTAGTCCAGTAGACTTTGTTTCTTCTGCTTCCTGCTGCCTCAGGGGTCATCTGACAACATTTCGAGGGAAACTGGGTCATCAAAATGTGGACCTTGTATCCCTGCCTGGAAGTCAATCCTTGATTTTGTCCTGCAGCCTGCTTCTCACTAGAAAGCATCCTGTCTATATAGAGAATTGGTGGAGAATCTTACAGCTCCTGCCTTGGAATATTGCCACTAACTACCTAAGGTCCCTGATTCTATACACGGAGAAATGGAGGCCCCAGCTGGAGGATTAGCTCCCCCATGCCCACAGCAGAAGAGGCAGCTCACAGTCTGGGACTGCGGGCTGTGTGATTCAGTGGTGGTGCTTGAATGGCAGGTGTTGCTTTCTGTGCCTCCTGGTCCCTAGTCTGTTTCTCAGCCAGGTGCCATGATAGTGGGGATGATGGTCTTGTTATGTACGCTCGGGTGTGTGTGCCTGTGCTTGTGGGCTCCTGGGAATGTGTGTGTTGGTGGGTGTTCTGATAGGCCGGCGGTGAACCTGCCCAGATAAGGGCCTCTGCATGGAGATGGATAGGCATCTGGGAGTCTTTCTTGGGTTAGGCTGTCACCTTCTCTCTTTGCTAACTTGAAGAAAAGTTTGAGGGCTAGCCGAAGAGGCGTTAACGTTAAGCGAGACCCACGGTTTGGGGCATGATGTGTGAGTGCCTCGGGGGACAGGCACAGGCACCGCTCCCTGGACACAGCTCAGTTGGCCCCAAGCGTTAGTACTTCATCGGGGCCCGGTGTAAGGTCTGGTACTTTAGGGTCCCCCATTTGGGAAATGGAGGCATGTCCCTGAAAGAAGAGTGGTATAAAATCTTGCAGTCCCCAAGGGGGTCAGGACTACATCGTTCTTGGTGTATCGGCAGCCTTCCTGGGAGGTTGCCTTCCCTCAGAAGCCCACTTTTGCTACTTTTTTGCAGTCTGAGGCTTCAGATAGCACATTTCTTTGATTCTGTAGTTTCTCACCCCTTTAGGTGTTTAGGGCATGATAGTCTATGGCTGATGGCAGATGGATATGTCTTTATGGAGGGCAGAAGTCAGTGACTCTCCTGACATGGTTGACTGACCACAGTGTCGTCCCAGGAGCTCCTCTTGTGGCCAAGAGGTGCAGCCGGTGGACTTTGTGGAGGGAGACTGCAGGAAACAGGCGAAAATGTCAGAAGACTTTGGGTCGGGGCGCCTGGCTGGCTCAATCAGAGTAGCACGCAGCTCTTGGTCTCTGGGTGGTGAGTTTGAGCCCCATGTTGGGTGTAGAGCTTACTTAAACAAATAAAACTAAAAAAAAGAAGAAGAAGAAGAAGAAGACTTTAGATCTGTCAGGGGAGAACTAGTAAAGAGAGAACATCAGTGTTTTAGTGGATGAAATACAGTTTAGGGGCTCTGGAGTTAGAGAAGAGATAGCCTCTGAGAGGGGTGTGAAGACCAGAGGAGGCCAACCGGGCTTGCTGACCTGTTGGCGGGGTTAGGAACCAGGTATGCGTGAACCTTCGCTCAGGTGATCACCAGGATTAGGAGCAGCTGGCAGTAACTGTATTTAACCAATAGGAACCTGCTCGACTGTTCTTCAAAGTAACTACACTATTGTACATTTCCATCAGCAGCAGGGTGCTGGTTCCATGCTTATGCCCCTAGCACAATGACTGCCATAGAGTAGGTACACGGTGAATGTTGGCTAGAGGGACAGATGGCTAGAAAATGGGACTGAAGTATGGCTAACACCAGGATAAACACCAGGTTCCATTTTTTCCACATTCTTGTCAACACTTGGAATTGTCTGTCTTTGTCATAGCCTCCCTAGTGGGTGCGAAGTGTTACCTCCTTGTGGTTATGATTTGTGTTTCCTTGATAACAAATGGTTTTGAGTACCTTTTCATGTGCTTATTGGCCATTTATATATTTTCTTTTTTAAAAAAATATTTTATTTATTTATTTGATTGAGAGTGAGAGCATGAGCAGGGGGTAGGACAGAGGTAGGAGAAGCAGGCTTCCTGCGGAGCAGGGAGCCACACATGGGGCTCAGTCCCAGGACCCACAGATCATGACCTGAGGCAAAGGCTGATGCTCAACGGACTGAGCCACCCAGGCGCTCCGGTCAATTATATATTTTCATCATAGAAATGTCTGTCAAGATCTTTGTCCAATTTTTTAAAAACATTTTTTGCTCATTTTTAATTGGGTTGACTTTTCGTTATTGAGTTACAAGAGTTCTTTTTTAGAGAGAGAGAGCTTGAGCACGGATGGAGGGGGCAGGGTGAAGGGTAGAAGGAGAAGGAGGTGGAGAAGCAGACTCCCCACTGAGCAGGGAGGCTGGGAGTGTGATGCAGGGCTTGATCCCTGGACCCTGAAATCATGACCTGAGCTGAAGGCAGATGCTTAACT